AAACACGGGAATAGGAACCCCCGAGGAAAAAAAGTGATTGCACCTATTCCCGTGTTTGAACCTTATAATACTAACTCTTGTCCAAACCTAAACGCTAACCATATCGATAACCCTCCTTTCCCCAGAATTTAGCAAAAATGCCATTTGTACTGCAAGAGGGGGAGGGAGGGAGGGAGAGAGAGAGATTCCTTTTTCTGAATACTGTTGCGCATACTAGGGCGAACTACTTTGCAGAAATAACGCCAGTCGAGGGCTTGTATGAAAGAATATAAGATGCTTATTATAATAATATAGCAATAATATAATATGGTATTAATAAATCGCTCGGCCATGAGTGGTGAGAGAAGAAACTGCGCAGTTATTCAAAACCGAGTTAGTTGCGGCCTCGCGGCTCAATCAACAAACTCTACAGCGCATGTAAGGCCCACGTGTGCAGCTAACCAGCATATGCATACATGAGAAAGTCGCAGAGTAGTACCTAGATCCTGATACGCCCACCACCCGTGCCTATTCTTCAGACTGCAAATTTGCATACCAGACTCGCTTAAAGTAGGTCCCTTGCAGTTAGAAAAATATCTAAACAATTAGAACCAGGACTGTTGTCTGGAAATCCCCACCGCCCAAAAAAGGAGACAGGCTGGAAATGCGACAGCAATGTTATGAAACAGTAAACAGTTATCAAGACAAGGAATTATTTCGAGCAGGTTAACGAAGGTACACACAACGTGAGAAAAAACCTGCAGGTAAGGATGACTTTTATGGACGCGCAAACAGGACACGGGAACAGGGATAGTACACAATACTTGTAGTTTTGCGTCGAATTCAAGGAAACTTAGTTTTAGCTGAGGTTTAGGGTTGAAGTTAAGATTCGATTTGAGGTTAGGGTCAGGTTATGTTAAAGTCTAAGGTTTGGGTGCGTGTTAAATTTAGGGTAGGGTTAAGACTAAGGTTGCAGTTTATCATGAGCTTATTGTTAGGGCTAGGACAGGGAAATATCTGCCCTTCTTGAAATTTATCGCAAGATCACACATTATAAGCGGGCGGGCGTTCCTATTCCCGCGTCCCGTGTTTTAGCGGCCGTACAAGTCATCTTGACCTATCTGCAGGGCGGTGATGTTTTTCAGTCAGCGTCTATTTTTAAAACCAAAGCCCCTCCCCCCCCCAACAAAACTGTCAGCCGGCAACATCAGAGTTAATGTTAGCTCGTCGTTTTGTCGGGCCGGAAAGATAACACAGTGGTGGGCCGAGGTGGAGACGTGCAAGGGCAGTACAGTAGAACTGCCGGCAGTTCACGCCTTCTGACATATATGTCTGTCGGCCACCTTTTTGAACCAATAAGGACCCAGTAATAAGTGCAACGGAATTCATGGCCTGCGTGCGTACGCGCCTGCACACCACTGCAGTTCCAAAACTAGTGGGCTAAATAAAGACCACAACTGAGACACAAATCGTCTTTCAATACTTGCATCAAACATCCGGTCAAAAAGAAACGCGAAAAAAAAACCAGAAAGCCAGCCCAGAAACTGCTCCTTGGTCTGTCTACATTTAAGTCCGCATGTGGCTGCCTAAAGGCGTTCATGATAGACTTGAAACCTACGAAGCGTTAGGTATTCTTGATGATAGTACTTTTAATCCTAGATCCCCTTGGAGCCGAATGTCGAGCGAGTTCGAAGGATTGAGGAGGGTCAGTGCGCCGAACCGGACGAGAAATACTGCACTGTCAGAGGAGGGGGTATACTGAAGCAACGATGAATCGGAGTACAGTTAGGGAGACACACTCAGCATCAACATCTATCTGTGTATGCAGAAGGACATTACCAGCAAAGACAGGGGACACTAGGAAGGCCTTT